GAGAAAGATAAGGCTTTCTGCTCCTGTAAAGATTTACAGTCTCAGAAACCCTGTACAGGGTCACTATGAGTTGGAACCAACTCAACAGCACATAACAATAACAAAAACATTTATCATAATCTCAAATGGCTGCTGGAACTGGATAGATATTAACTGCTTAAATAATTCAGTTCTTTGCTGAATGGATATTACTGATTTACCAATACAGTTCTTTAACCCATATCTTTATTTATTGACTCTTTTGTCTGCTGCTGAAAAGATGAGAGGAAGAATGGTGCCTAAATTAGCAGCATCACATTATAGAATCATACCACCTGTTGCTGTCTAATTGTTTATGAATGATGGTGCTGTCATGTACATCAAGGTAGAAATGTGCTCCATAGCATTTTCAAAGAATGATTTTTCAGTAGGAAGTGCCTTTGGATGGACTTCCACTTCTAGTCTCTCAATAAACTGCGAAGTCTACTAACCATTTGCACCATTCAGGGATGCCTGCAGAGTCATAGACTTAAAGAATTTGAACCTGAACTTTTTTCACCAAATCTGAAAATTACACTCTACCAAATTACGTGACTTGTCTGAAGTCATATGGTCATATAGTAATTTATCTGGAGATACCAGCCTGATCTCCCGATTATGTGTGCCTTCTAAATAATGTTAACTCTTTATTAGGGTTCACTGAGCCTACACCACTCATCTGTCAGTTTGTCCTACTGTGGTGGCTCGTGAGTTGTTGTGATTCTGAAAGCTATGCCACTGGTATTTTAAATATCAGCAGGTTCACCCATGGTGGACAGGTTTCTGATGAGCTTCCAGACTAGGAAGAAGGAGTGATGAACTACTTCTGAATATTTAGTCACTGAAAACCTTATGAATAGCAGAGAAACACTGTCAGATATAGTGCTAGAAAATGAACCCCTCAGGTTGGAAGGCACTCAAAATGTGACTGGGGAAGCCCGTTGGGAGTAAATTTGCTGATAGGGACCTTCATTTGCTGATAGGGCACAACTCAAAGCAAAGTGGCAGCATCAATGGACTCGAGCATGGCATCAATTGTGAGGTTGGCCAAGGATCGGGCAGTGTTTTGTTCTGTTGTGCATGGGGTCACTATGAGTCAGTACTGACTTGATGGCACCTAACAACAGCAACAATAATCCCCCCAAAGACAGCATCTCTTCAATGCATGTTTATCATCTATAAAATTAACTGGGATTCCTGAAACCATTATGAAATAAAATGTGATTTGAAAGAAGAGAGAAGTCACTTATTTATGAAAGTCTTTATTTAAAAAAAAAAAAAAATGTAAACCATCCTTCTCTAAAATAATAAATGGCACCTGGCTCCTGATTTTCATTCTTGACTAACTCTGAGCACTTGGTTTTACTTAGCGCTTTGCAATTTCATTCTGTCTTTAATAATCCTTGTTTGCTGAAACTCAATGAACTGGAATAAAGTTTGCCAACTTTTCCTTTTTAAGCAAATTCACTCATTAGGCTGCTTTCCCAAAATTTCCCAAACTCCAGGCAGTGCTTCGGCTTCTAGATGTTCATTTGCATCTTATTTTCTTTTAACAGCTATAACTTGTTGGAGCATTTTCCATAAAGATAATTGCACATAAATCTTGACTTTGCACAAACACCACAATCTGTGTGGTGATGAATACATATGGCTTATCATAATGAACACTCTATTCAGTCTTATTGAAAATGGAGTATTCGGACTTTTTTCTTAGAAACTCAATGGTCATGCCTATTTTTATTTTTTGTGCAAAAAAGAGACTCATTTTTTATTTTCAAATTAGTTTGAATTACAGGATTTTTCATTCTCTAAAGTTTATTTCTTTCCTTGCTTTGACTAGTTGTTAGGAACTTTTATTGAATAAGGCATAGCTTTTGCTCTACTGAGTACAAGGGCTTTGTTAAAGTCTGTCTTTCAATACTGCACCATTTCTATGATTTACAAATAATTTGTGAACCTGGAAGTGAATATCCAGGACTGATTGCTTTTGCTTTTTTTTCCCTTTCCTGCTAATGAGCCTGTTTCAAATATGAGGGCACATTATGCATCATTTTTTAAAATACTTGGGAAATGAAATACCTAAATTTGATCTTCTCTACCACTGTTGTTGTTGAATGCTGTGGAGTCAATTCCAACTCATATTGACCCTATGTAGGGTTTCCAAGAAGCAACTGGTGAGTTTGAACCGCTGACCTCAGGGTTCAAACTGACTTTGCAGTCCAGCGCATTAGCCCACAGCACCACACCAGGACTCCTCTCTGCTCTATAACCCTCTCAACCAGAAAACCAAGCTACTGCCATGGAGTTGATTCCAACTCATAATAACTCTATATATAAGGTTTTAGAGACCATAAATCTTTATGATAGCAAACAGCCTTATCTTTCTCCCATGGAGCTACTGGCGGATTTGAACCTCTTTCCTTGAGATTAGCAGTCCAGTGCTTATCCTATTGTATCTCCCAATTTGTAAAACAGATGATTGAACTAGACTGAATATGAGCTACACACACAGTAAAGAATACTTAGGAGCACCCTCCTAATATAAATGATAATCTCTGGCTCATTTCACAAAAGTCATAGTTATAGACTCCTAAGAATCCTTCTGGTCTAGCACTATTCACTACTCTTTTGGCTAGTTATGAACAATGGAGAAAAAGCACTCAATTACTTTTGTGTTACAAATACTGTGAGAGTAAGCAATATAAAGCCAAATAAACATGCAAAAATCAAGTGGCATGTTATTATTCTAAGTATGAGGAGGCTTCAAAAAGTCCTGGAAAATGCAGTACAGAGATTTTTTCCATTCAATTAGAAAATTCTCACGCAGAAAAATTTAGTCACAACTAACTATATTAACTTTTATGATTTTATAGAATAAGGATCTCAATAAATACAAAATAAAAGGCCAAATTAATTCACAAAACATATGCTGAACATTTATTATGTGCCATCCTAAAATTATTTATGTGCCATCCTAAAATTTAATGTGGGAAGGAATGGTATTACTTTTATTTGAGAAATTTAAAGCATAGATGTGTCTTTATTTTTTCTAATATTGACCAGGTGCAATGCCCTTGTCATGAGTCTCCCCAAAATATATGCCAACTTGGCTAGACCATGATTCCCAATATTGTGTGGTTATCCTCCATTTTGTGAATTATCCTCCATTTTTTGATATTTTGTAAATCCTTACCTTCTGGTGTGGCCCTGTAGCATAAGTACTTGACTGAAGATTAGTTTGAACCACAAGGTCAGTGGTTCAAACTCACTAGCTACTCCTTGACAACCTATACAGTTGAGACCCACTCTACAGCTCTTAACAGCAACAATATGTTAAAGTAGGATAACTGTAGGGAGTGTCTTGAGTCAGAGTGTTACTAAGTCACACCCTTACTCAAGTCACACCTTGACTTGAGTCATACCTTTTACCTTACAAGAAATCAAGAGAGAGAATGGACAGGAGATGAGATTGAATTCATTACTATCAAGTAAAACGAGCAAGGACTGAAGCAAGTCCATTGGACATGGGGTCCCTGTATTGAGAGCCTTCTAGATAGAGTGGGGGCAGTGATACTTAGATACATGGAGATTTCGAGGGAACACCAGGCTGACAAGTGTTAATAGGAGCCAAGGACCCTCCCCTAGAGCCAGCATCTTCAATTACAACTTCTAATCTCCTAAACTGTGAGAAAATAAATTTCTATTTGTTAAAACCATCTACCTGTGGTATTTCTGTTATAGTAGCACTAGATAACTAAGATAATATTTAATACTTAAGATGGAATATCTCACTTAATGTTCACAAATAACAATGTATAGTCTTCCAGTTTCTCTACTTACATCTAAGAAAATGGAAGCTTGAAAAGATTAGACATCATGCCTAAAGTGCCAGTTGTTGTTTAGTGCCATTGAGTCGATTCCAACACATAGTGACCCTGTATAGGGTTTCCAAGGAAGAACTGTTGAGCTTGAACTACTGATATTGAAGTTCAAACCGCTTTGCAGTCTGGCACATTAACCCACCAAGCCATACCAGAACTCGAGTTAGTAGATGGCAAAAATAGATTTAACCCTGCTTTATCTGATTTCAAAGCTTAGGTTGAAACTTCTTTACCACCTAGCTTCCTGTAGATATTAGATGCAATGGGAACTTTCTTAAGCTGCCTATGTTTTTTTGACGTATTTTATTACAACTTTTAAATATGGTCATGAAATCCTAGTAGTCAGTAAACCTGAAAAAATGTGACTACCAGCAGGAGGAGGTACAGCTTGATGTGACTATAACCAAAAAAGATTCAGAAGAGTTTGGCAATTCTCTGGAAACTAGATTGGAAAGAGGCCTCATTTCTCAGAGAGAGGCTGACATGAGCAAAATCTCCAGGAAGTTTGAGCAGATGGGCTTGTAATCATCTTTTAAGAGATATGAACCTGCTGAGTGAGGTTTAAATTTTTCCAGAAGGCTAGATTATTCATAAAGTTTAAAGTCGTAGGCAATGTTCCTCCAATATTCTGCTTGAATAAAACTTGTTCTCAGAGTTTGGGATATTTTTTTCACACAAAGCAAAGAGAAAACACCTGGATCCCTGCTTATTTTCACCACTGCATCCCTGTAGCATTGTTAATCTAATTCAACATTATAATGCAGTGATTCCAGAAAATGTATCACAGAAGTTATTTAATGAAAAATGATTTTGTTGCAAAAGAACAAGTAATTACTCCCCTCCAAATTTTGCTTTTCAAATGTATGAGCAGGTAAAAATGAAAAGTTTTTATTCTTTAATGATAGAAAATTCTGGTCTATTTCAGAAAGTATTATACTATAATCTTTCCAAACTCAAGATTATTTTTTCTTGGAAAAGCATAACAAAAAATACAATCAAAGAGATCTTATTGATTCTCAAGTACTAGCATTATGCTCTTTGTTTTGGAAATGTGCTAATAATTTCATGAAATCAAAAGACACTATTTTATCTGCTACTTACCCCAAAAGATGCCTTTGCCTCTGAAGATGAAAGGGAAGAAAACCTGCGTGCAGGCCAAAACTAGCATGATGCCCAGTACTAGAAGAACTTTCATTCTAAAATTAGAATAAATTAATACAAGTAAATAAAACTTTTTGTGTGTGCCTTATTTGCTAGAGACTTATATGAATTCATTTCTTACTGTCTCTACAGTTTTAACTGATTCTCATAAACTTGGATCTGGAGTTTTGGACATTGCCTTCCAAATCAAGAGACATTGCAATGTACATCGGGCTATCGTGTTAAACAGCTAGAAACATCTATTATGTCCAAATGATTTGAAAGTGAAATTTTCACATATAACAACTATAATGACCAAAATAATTTAATAGAAACCTGTTTCAATTCATAGTGATGTCAAATAAACATAAAAGTGTCAGGAATAATTATTGGGAATGAAAGACCAAATTATTTTCCTATAATTTATTTATATTAAGAAATAAATAATATCAGGAGTTTAGACTTAACATAAGTATTAAATAAAATTCTTAAAAGACTATATTAAAATTCTTACAGTATTTTTTCCCACATGCAAAATTATTTCAGAACTACCTAGTTATACATGATTCAAACTCATCATTTCTGCTTTAATTTTTTTCTTTTATTTGAGATTTCTTTAGTTATTTTTGAACCACTAATTTTGCTAAGTATGATGGATATATTCTGATGAGAATGTATTTCAATAAACTATGATTAATGATCTGGCCTAACATGACTTAATAGGTCATGTACATTTGAGTTCAGATCATTGAACGCATAGAAACCATCAATCAACTTTGCTTAGAAAAGTTACCCACAGCTGGAATACAGTGCATTGAAACTCTATAAATTTCAATGATGAATTTCTCTTAGAAAATGGAAAAATAAAAAATTTTATAATCTGACCTTTTTTCCTCTTCTCAGTCAGGGAGGTGAGCTCACACGGTTCAGCACTTTGTCTATAGCTGTACCTCTTCTGAAATGTGAACCTCAGTGCTTCCCCAGAACTTGGTTACCCACCATATAAACTGACTCTATGCTCTGATACCCACTCAAGCCGTTAAAAATTGGAGTGTCTTCCAGTCTTTGTGACAACAAAGTATGTGCACAATTTTGTTGTGTTTGCATCAGGTTTTTCTGGCCCAGCTGTATAGAAACAAGGTATTACATCATTTGGAGGTTTGTTCTCTGCCTATGAGTGAAAAAGAAAAGAAAAGAAAAGAAAATTTAATAGATAATAAAGAAGAAATCAACTAAAATTCACCCTCATAATTCTTGCATTGTTCTAGCTTTTACTCTTCTAAGTTGAATATCTAATAATGGGGGGAGAGGAGATCAATATGTTACTCCTTGAAAGAACATTAAATTCAGTTCTACTCCAGGGCCCACGACTAATTAGCCGGATAACTTTGGGCCAGTTATTTTTGGGCTAGTTATTTAATGTCCCTGTGACTTCAGTCTCCTTATATCTAAAAGGTGCCTAATAAAACATATTTCTCACTTCGATGTGGTGAATAAATGAATAATGTACAGAAGCTGCCACCATCATAGTAGCAAATGTTTCTAATGCCATCTTCATATGGACTCACTAAAAGAGGCACAAATAGGCCTGTTGTTGTTGTTGTTAGGTGCCATC